TGGTGCGGTTTCAACTCGTACAATCAGGGATAACAAGATAGTAAAAATAAAGTATGGCAAAGGGGTTTCAAAATTAGAAATCAGATACCTATCTCGAAAGAAATAAATGATATATTTGTTTTAAAATAAACGATCTATAAATCCTATTTATATATTAAGTGTTATCATTTATCAATGGCGCTTTAACAATCGTTATTTTTTTTATACATTTCATAATTTAAACACTGCTATTCATTTTCCGATTTCAAATAAAATACAATTCCGATTTTTTAAACTCATCTTATTTTTAAAATACCTATGCTTGAAATAAACCTAATAACAAGTTAATTGTTTAATCTATTTAATAGATTCCTTCTCACTAACACTGCTCAATAAATTCTAATAATAAGGGTCCTGTCAGATATTAGCAGATATGACTTTACTATAGAGCCCACTCCCCTCCCCCTTTCCTGAGATAGTTGGCTTTTCGGATTAGCTATATGCGTATATTTAAACCTGAGGTTTTGTCTACCACCCTCCCCCTACGATATTAACCGATATATGACACTTCCCTAACCAGTCGTTTACCGGCGGGTCTAACACGCTGACAAATAATATGTCTTAGTTAATCTCTAATCAATAGAAAAGAGACAGGTTAGGGCTGGGACAGATGGGTTTAACGCATAATTTTGCATAGTCATTATATTCTTAAAATTACTCAAGGCATAGATTCGAATTTTTAGAATATGAATTTAATCTTCGAGTGATTGTTCTATACTGACCAATTAAATATAATTAAATATGAGGTTCAACTTAAAATTTGATGTCTATAGCTAAGGCCCAATTCCGCCAATTAGTCCATATATTGCGCATAGCAATGATTTTCTTTATCAGCGATTAATAAATAATGGACTTTTTTCCAATCATTATTGTAATTTATTTTTTTGATTTCTATGGTTCCATAGAATCAACAATTTGCACACGAATTTAATTGTTTTCTTTTCATTCTTTAGAATCATTCCAAGAAAACAAAAAACATAATAGTAATGAAATTTAATCAACTAAAAACAATGCCATCATACCCAAATTACGAAATCAGCTATCCAGTAATATCAGATGATGAATTCACAAATATTCCACAAAATACAGAAGAAAACAAAGATAGTAACAACGTTATTAATTATTACGATGTCCAAAACTCTATTAAAACTGATGATTCAAATAATGAATTCACCGGTGACATGGAAAAGAATTCAAGTCAACATAAAAAAGTTATTTCTAAAGATGCAATAAAGTGGTATAAAAATTCTATAGCCGTTTTGACCGCCTTCAGAACAAACTTTTTGTTGATTTTTTTACCTCCTGCTTTCATTATGAAGAAACTTCAACTTGACGAGTTATTGGTATTTGTCTTTAATTTTTTGGCAATCATCCCTTTATCTCAAATTATGACTGCTGCCATTGATGACTTTGCGACTAGATTACCTCCGGTAATTATTCTAACTATTTCCTTTAAAAATTTATATCATTTTTCTTTCAATCTATTAATTTTTTTTTTTTATGACAGGCATATGGTGTAGTTTTACATGCCTGTGCTGTAAACTTTGTCGAGCTTGTTGTCTTAGGTTATACTTTAATGGATAGAAACTATTCAATTGTTCGTTCATCTTTGCTTGGTGCTATTTTGTGTAATATTTTATTGGTGAGCATGAGTATCAATTGTTAATTTATTTATACCGTATTAAAGTCCATTTAATCATTACAATATTCTGATCGTGTTTAGATTCTTGGTATAGTCTTTTTGGCTGGTTCATGGCCAAGGAAAAAGTCGCGTCGTCAATCAAAAAACGCTTACATTACTACTCGGTTATGGGTATCAACTGGTACTTCAACACTTGCTCTTGCTGTTCTTGCTCTCGTGACCCCTGCTGCATTCAAGCTTGCTGCTCCTACTGGCACTGGCATTGAATGTGACATTCAAAATATCAGCCACGGTACTGCTATCATTCTATTTCTCGTTTATATTGCTCTATTGGTGTTCCAACTGAAGACTCACGCTCACGAGGTTTGTACATTTATCTTAAATAGTTCTTATTTCTTAATATATTCTAAATATCTATTATTTATTTATTAGGCTTTTAATACCAAAGAACACATTTCCAAAGAAGCTAAATACTTCCTTATATTTGATGTACTTCTGTAAGTCTTATCATCGTATTATTCTTATCATATTAATTATTAAAAATATTTTTTATTATTAATAAACTTACTTAATTTTTTTATTTTTAGGATTGGATTAACAGTTTTTGGCATTACTTTATGTTCCAGAAACCTTGTGACAAGTATCGAACATATTGCTCATAAATTTCAACTTGGCAATAGTTTTGTCGGAATGGTTCTTATACCCCTTTGTGGTATGTTTAACTCGGTCAATTTTATCAATTTTATTTTTTTTTGCTAATTTTCATAACTTTTTTCTTTAGTGGTATCTAACTTTATGGAACATTATTATGCTATCAAAGAAGCTTCTGAAGATAAGGTTGATACTGCTGTTAGTCTAGTTCTCAATACCTCTGTGGTAATTTTTTTCCTATTTCACTGTTACATGTACTTGGAGTTTAACAACAATTTTAATATTTTAATTTGTTTTTTTCAAAAAATTAGCAAATTGCTCTTTTAATTACCCCTATTCTTGTTCTTGTTGGTTGGATAACCTCTAGGCCACTAACTTTGGATTTCAACATGTTAGAAATCAGTGTCTTAGCTTGTGCTGTGCTAATAGTAAATTATATAGTTGCTGATGGTAAAACAAATTGGCTAGAAGGATTTATGCTTATTGCAAGTTTTTAATTTTACTTAAAGTTCTTATTTACTCATTAATATTAATTTATATTAATTAAAATAATTTTATTTTTATTATATAATTATAGATGTCTTACATTATGATCGCTATTGTATTCTTTTATCTTCCCAATACACCTGATCTTCCTGAAAATCTAAATTGTCACCCTTGGAGTAGAAATCTTCCTCCAGAAAACTCAAACCTCCTTCAAATTGACGTTCTTAGTTCTTAAAAATATTAATGGTGCTTTTTTTTTTTTTAAAAAAAAAAAAAACACACACACAATTTTATAAAGTTATCAATTTTTTTATTGCATATATATCAATTAGGGAATCATAATATAATTTTATCATAGCCCTACACTACCAAAAAGTAAGACTTTTTTTTTACTTTAAAATAATTTTTTTTTTTTAATACAGATCGAAACACTATTATAAAATTTATAAGTGATTTATTATTGAGCAGGCTCTGTATTTATTTATTACCTCCTCTTAAGTGATGTTTTTTAACAGAGCTTATTTGGGTTAGGGTTACTTGTGGTAAGCCTTCTATTAATTTTTCTGCTGCATTGAGGTCTAACTCAGGTGTTCCGTTTTAAATATTTTTTTCATATTGTGTTTTGATATATTGTAGAATTTCTCTGCTTTCGCCAATCACTGGTGAGGTGAGAATTTTTATTTTTGAGGTCGCTATCAGCGTTTTAAATAGCAAAGTAAAATTCCGGTATTTTGAGTAAAAAACCGGTTTTTTTTTCAGCCGTGAGCTGGTAAATTAAAAATCCTATTTAAAACACTGGTCGCTATATATAAATGCCTAGTTTTATACTTAGTAAAAAAATAATAAAGTATTTTGGTCTTATTTTTAAAACAGAATTGATATCAGAAAAGAAATAAATAAATATTCGAATCATCGAAGAACAATAATTAAAAAACAAGTAACTGCCGGTAAGCGAAAAATTCCAACAAACGTAATGTACTTTAAAGTCACCGTTACACCAGATACCTCCATCGAATAATTTACCCAGAATCACACCCGTAACAAATCTTATTTATCACACTTATTATTCTCATACAACGTTTCAGAAACGTAACACTTCTTATTTTTAACATAGCTAAATTTAGTAATAATTTTATTCTGTTATGCGCAATGAGACACGTATTATAATTATAGATTCCTATGAAGTAATAACTCAGAATAACTAGAATCCAAATACCCGAATATTAGAATCATTAACAAACATAGTAATAACTACCCGATATAATACACATACTATAGTATATATCAAAGGAATTTATCCAACCTTAATATCTTTTAGAAATAGTAACGTGGGAGCGAACACATACCTTCACTGGAAAAACTCTCATATAACACATAACCCATAGTATAGAGACTTTATCCACCTCTAGTATTTAAACAACGTGGGGGAGAACCCAAATAAGAATAGTCGCAATGAATATATAACATAACATATTAAATATAAACAGTATCAAATATTATTAAATAAACTATTCATACGCATCATATTATTTTATGAAAACATTATTACGATTTGTCATAGTAGTAACTTATCAATTGTATTAATGAATAATAATTATAGTAAAGGCTGTCATAATGATTAAGAATCTTTAACACTACGTAAGGGCTAATTTTGATTATCGGGCCTTTTTTGTTTACTAAAACTGATTTAACTCTGATCATATGATCCTTATTAAAGTTATAATATTTAGACAGTCAACTGACTGCACGTCACTATGAAGTACTGTTGGAATGTAAATTGGTGTCCCGGTCCAAGTCACGAGTTTTATTTTTTTTTTATATATATTTTATTATTTATTTATTTATTTATATTACTATAGTTTTCTTTCATTATTTTGGTATATAGTTATTTATTTGTAATTCGTCCTGCTCATGCCCTTGTTTACGTTTAAGAACCGTAGTAGCTACGCCCGTAAACATAATGGTGAGCAGTTGAGGCAAGAGTAAAACATTAACATGAGCAGTTGAGGCAAGTGTAAAACATTAACATGAGCAGTTGGGGCTATGACGTATAATCGAATAAGCCATTGATAAGTGATGTGAGCAGTGTGGCTTCATGTTACCTTAGGATGGTTTAATCACGGGCGAAGCAACTGCTCACGAAGGAACAAACAACTGCTCACAAAAGAATAAACAACTGCTCATAAAAGACTTGCGCGATATAATCATATAGAATTTACTTAGTATAGCCTTCACGAACAAAAATGTATAAATATAGGTCTTTTTTGCCTTTTCAAAAAGACCAGTTACGAGTTACGAACTACAAGTTACAAATAAAATTAATCAATTAAAAAACAAATTCATTATTACCTTAAAATTCCGAATCCTTAAGTTCCAAATATAAAACTTCGCTAATTAAATAATCGTTTCCTCACTACGTTTATTTTATTGATTTATTAAAGTATACGCTGTGTCTCTTAATTAACTTAAAGAAAGTAAACACTGAGGCTGAATAGACCTTTCACTGAGTAACTAAGAGCTATATTCTTAATGAGTTATACAGGAAGTAATATCATGTGTAGAGTAATTGTTTAGATTGTTAAATAGGATCAGTAATTATTTAGACATTACGATTGTTTTATTATTAGTATTGTGATCAATGCTAGCTTATTACAGATTATTTATAAATTAGTTTAGATTCTTTTAAGTTATATTATACTTAATATATTGTAAATATCTGCAGAGCTAATTAATCTTATAAGCAAATCTATTAGATAGCTTATATTTATTTTATAGATTCATTTATATTAAACTCTTGTGATGTTTGTATAAATCTAGTTTTTACTATAGTTCTCTACTAAGTTAGTTCTTTATGTTTTCAAATATTTTACAAGACATATTCTTTTAAATTTAGTTAACTACTAAACTAAGAGTATTATTATCTGATTTTTTTATATAATAAACTTACTTACATCTACTTGATTTTTATTCTTTATATACAAATTTCTCTGCTAGATCAAATATTAACTAACATATTAGTAAAATCTGTACTATTTTATCTAGCTTGAAATTCTACCATATAGATCTTCTTCTTATAAATCTTATTAAAATTTCATTATATAAGATTATATTATATTATACATATAATATCAATATTGATACAATATGATTTATTGAGTTAAACCTCCAAAAACAAACAGAGTTTACTATAAATTAGATACAAAGGTCTAAGTAATTATTCAAATTTATCAACAGTAAGATTTGAATACTAGACCTCTTATATATAGAATCTTTGTTAGAAAAATCATTTTCTCAGAACAGACTAATTCAGAAATATTTAGACCAGAATACCAGTTCTTATTTATATGTAAGTTATCTTTTATCTTTATTGATATAATAATTTATTTAATAAACTATTATATTAATAAGATAAAAGATAATTTACATATAAATATAAATTGGTGTTCTAGTTTAATTCTTTTCAAATTAGCTAGTTCAGAAAATTACAGAGTGATTTTCCTTGCAAAGATTCCATATAGTGATATGAACTGATAAAAATTTTTTGAGCTAGGATTGAGACCAAAAAAACTCAGATGGGTTATTTGAGCAGACCTTTCTACTTGAGTTTAGCTTCAAATCTCATCACCAAATTAAGGTTAGTAAAAAAAAAAAAAAAGAGAAATTATTAATGAAAAACAGATGAAAACCAAAAAGTCACAAGAATCAGAAATGAGTAAAAAAAAAAAAAAGAAATCGAAAAAACTTGATGAAAAAAATTTGTATTATTTTGGATTTGAATGAAGTAATATTTTACTTGATTATTATCAAAATTAATTTATTAACCATAATCTATATTACAAATATATTTACCAAAAAAATTTGATCCAATGTCAACTCACCCAGCTCACGAAGGTGCGGGTTGTTGACTCGCCCATCAGCCTTGCCATAAGGCCAAGGTCAGCCTGTATCACTAAACACAGACATCGTATTGCGAATGGTTCTATAAGAATATTAACTGATATCGATTAAACATTCATCGCATTGCGAACAGCACTATAGGAATATTAACTGATATCGATTTAACATCCATCGCAGATAAGATATCAAAAATATAAATAACTATTATTTATTGTATCAATAACTTATACATGATTAGATATAATCTTTACGTACTATATAATATTATGCACTTTTAACATTTTAATCACAGCGGCGAGGCCGTCTTATGATCATATTCTAGTTTATATGTAAAAATAAGGCTCTTTTAATAGGAGACACTCCATATATGATTAAATTTTCATAAATTTCTAAATAAATATTTAAAGTAGTATGCTACTATTACAAAAAGTGTTTAGCATGTTAAACATGTATTTTTAGAAAGTACCTAATCCAATGCTTTTCCTATTTTAGAACCAGGTTGGCTAGCAAGAATGCTTGATGAGCTAAAGCATTATTTCTACAAGGAGCATCCGCTAATGCATTTCCTGCTACAAAACCAAGTTGGTTGTCACGAAAGCTTAATAAATTTAAAATATTATTCTACAGAGTGCTTTAGCTGCTAATTCTTCTTCTGCTTCAGAACCAAACAAATTCATACCAAGATTTAAAGAGATTAAAGTAGTATTTATACAAACTGCATCAGCAAATGCTTTTGCTCCTTTTAGACCAAGTTGATTCCTATAAAGATCAAATGAGGCTAAAGTTTTATTTTTGCAAAGCGCATTTGCTAATGCTTTTCCTCCTTCTGGACCAAGTAAATTATAACTAAGATTTAATGAAGTTAAAGTAGTATTTTTACAAATTGCATTTGCTAGTGCTTTTCCTCCTTCTGAATCAAGCAAATTATTACTAAGATTTAATGAAGTTAAAGAAGTATTTTTGCAAATTGCATTTGCTAGTGCTTTTCCTCCTTCTGAACCAAGCTGATTGTCATAAAGATTTAACGAAGTCAAAGTATTATTTTTACAAAGCGCATCTGCTAATGCTTTTAGAATTTTGTGTTTTGGTTGAAGGGATATACTTGCTTGCTGCTGCTTATGTTGCTTTAGCTATTAGTTCCCATTCTTCATCGATGTCTATTCTGAGCTCTGGTTCTCCTGCATTTCTATCTTTTCATTTCCTTTTTTCTGAATTTTTGAAAATTTTTACTATTTCTTGGCTATAATCATTCCAATTTTCTTCTGTTGCTTTGTGATATTGATATAACCTTCTTGTTTTTTTTTGTCTTTTTTTTGCTTCATTACTTGTTTTTCTCAA